CCCCCCTTAACCTTTTCCCTTGTGACATCCCTAAAAAAGGAATTAAACCCTCCTATCTTCTACTGCTGAGGAAGGCGCCATCTTGGCCTCTATTTTGTTCTGCAGTTGTCATGATGCGGCACATGTGATTGGCTACAACACCAGCCATTAAGGGCCTAAAATATTCGGTTGAGAGCTGACATAAGTACACTGACCGATGTGACAGTTCTCACCAGAGGCACGTCATTAAATCAGTGGACAAGCAAACAGGAAGTTGCACACACATGATGTCAGACAGGTACTGAAGCCCCACCTGGGACCAGAGGGAGCTGCAGTGAGACGTGCGGATCCAATAAAACTTTTCCAAGTTCTGACATCATTGGTGAGTGGCTTCCTGTTTCCTCGTTGGAGTTGAGCTGCAGTGAAACGTGCGGGGCCAATAAAACTTTACCTAGTTCTGACATCAGTGAGTGGTTTCCTGGTTGAAGTTGTGAGTTCACCTGAGCTCTGTCACCTGGATCACCAGTGGCGGGGGACATGCATAAGGGCTTAGCGATGACTACTATTGTGCAATTTGTGGGTTTAGTTCTGTTTTACCAGGGTCACGCTAGACATTGGCCAACTCTTTCTAAATTGAGCTCTGGCCTCCAGCCGCCATTCTGACAGGTTCCCTTTCATTGGCCTTCTGTTCTTCAAGTTCACAAACATTTTTTTTTGGAAACAGGTCCACAGGGTCATCTGGACTCACGGGTGGAACCTCTGTGTGTGAGGAACAAGATAATCGACAGAGTCACTTGTAGTTGCTCCTTGTGTTCAGATCAGCTCACGGTGACCTCAGTAGGGAAGGTTCCAGGGGGCAGCTGAAGATCTGTGTGCAAACATTTGTGTAAGCTCCACCAACGTAACAGATTCAAAACCAATGCTATTTTGGGAAGCTGCTTCATGCTAGAGTGTGACCACATTGCACAAAGGTAGACAGGTGCTGAAAGTAGGCAAGTAATGAGAGAAAGATGGAGGCTGCTGTGCTGGAATCCGACTGAAAAAATGCAAGTTGTCAGGCTGTCTTTGGGCTTGCCATTTTCCATGTTGCTGCCAGTGTGGGAACTCCTGATCCGCATGGTTGTCCTAGGAAGCCACTGGATCGGTAGCTAGTATTTAAAAAAAAATAAAAGAACAGCCTGCATGTTTCCGGATGAAGGACCTGTGCCATGTTTGCTCTGGGCTGTGCAGATGGGTAGCACTCCGCCAAAACAGCCGGGCACGTGCACACAGCAGTACAGGTCCTCAAAGAATTCAACATGAGTATGGCGGGGTTGTGCGGCTCCATTCACGCAACAGTCTGATCGTCTGACAAAATGGCCGTTCTGATTTTCAGACTGAATCCAGCACTTCTCATTCCATCTGCTCCTGAAAGAGGTAAGTGGTTGGAAGGTACTGACTGCGCCGGTGTGCAATCCTGATCGACTGAATTGGAACTGGCTGTATCCTTTCCGTGTTCTCCGTAGGTGGTAATCGTCCAAAAACAATGGAGGTAAAATCGTCTGTGGGACATCAGTCATTACGGGGCATCTGGGTGGCCTAAAAGAGTATTTGGTCGAAGAGTCGGCACATTCTGAATTGAGAAAGCTGGTTGGATGACCAGTGAAACGTATTCAAGAAAAATACAGCAAGTCCAGTTGCCTTGACTTATTTTTTACAGATATACCATGACCTGGATGAATGAAAACCTTCACAGACACGGGTGGGCAGTGTTACTCCATGTTACTTATGATTGAAGTAGGACTTCATCTAATTTTTTTTCCCCCTGCCTCCGGTACTAAAAGAAAAACAAAAAATTCCCTCTCCAATGCTGTGCTCAGTTTCACCTTTGTCATTCTGCCCATTTGCCGAGAGCCCAGCCAGCTGCTCACCGGTCCGCTCAGTCCTAAAAGAATACCCGCCCCCAACCACGGGAAGGATGACAAGCAGCTGCAGTGACATCACTGTATCAGTTCAAGAAAGCGGGTACATATGGTGGGTCAATGGTGGAGCTCCGCAGCACCTAACACAATCCTTGACATGAACCCTTCGCATCTTCATACCACTAATTGTACCAGCCAGTGGCATTGGCAGGAGATAAGCTCCCGCCTGCTGCTGGCGATCCCTGACCCAAGTCAGGGATCACAGTCTCAGCAAGAGCTGCTGGAAAGAGCCGGGATCTTTGCCGATCTGTACCACCGCTTCAGACAGCTGTCGTGTATGAGCGGTGGCTCGCTGGTATGAAATGAAACCTGTCATGAGAGACTATTAGTAAAAAGAAAAGCCACAGTATGAGTAATAAAAGTCACATTATAATAATATATAATACTGGCAGCCAGGGGCGTCCCAAGGCAGGGTGACACCCGGAGCGGTTACCGAGTGGCACCCCGCGCGATGACGTCATCGCGTATACGCGGCGATCTTCTTGATACCTGACGGCGGCCATATTGGTGATGGACGTCGGCAGAGATGAGGGGACAGTCACCCGGCAGGATAAGGTATGCCGCCGGGTCCCCTCCTGTCGGGCACTCGGTCCATGACCAAGCGCCCGACTTTTCAGATGGAGGTGACACCAAAATTACTGTTCAGTCATTTTGGTGTCAACCCTCCAATGGTGTCACCCGGGTGCGGGCCGCACCCCCCTTGTGACGCCACTGATGGGAGCCGCAATAACAGTCAATGGACAACAAAGATGCAAAAAGCTGTAATAAAAAATAATAATAGTCAATATATAATAAAAAAGATATAAGAACTTGGATTTGTAGGCTCCCCGGGGCCCTGGTAACTGTAGTCCCCTTTATTTTGTACTGCGCTGCACAAACTGTTGGCGCTATATAAATCTTGTATCATAATATATTAATAATATATACAGTGATGGTAACAGCTACAATAATGTTATATTATAATAATAATCATACGATATTCATACTGAATAATAAAATGTACAGCCAGCTCAGCTTCACCCTGACAGGAATCCCCTCAGCCTGCAGCAGCTGACTGGGCTCGGGAACGCGCACTACCAGTTCCCGCCTTTCTCCATCAGCGAGTGCCTTGAGCGCGCCCGTGACGTCACCACCTCTGGCGGCGAGAGGCGGGAAGTGCAGAGCCGTCGACCGGCCGGCGGGACTACGACTCCCGAGATGCAGCGGGGCGGAGGAGAAGGGTAGTGACGTCACAATGCAGCCGCTTGGCTGACTTGGTTGTGGAGAGTGGAGAGTAGAGGAGGGTGAGAGCTCTGTGTGTAGATTGGGGGGGGTCACTGGTCCTATGCAGCCCCAAAGAATGCTGGGTAGGCAGGCCAGTGCTGGGGGTCATTACACACCTGAGAGGCTGCCATAGGTAAAGTGCGCCCCCAGAGGTGCGCTATGCTTCCCCAGACCCCAATAATAGGGAAACATAACACAAATATGAGACTATAGCAGCAAGATGAACATAATATTTATGTGTGGACAATTCCTTTAACTTTCTTTCTCTTTCCCAGTGTGCAGTGGTCACACCGGGCGGTTCGCGTCCAGCCGTCCCCTAGGCGACCATGGAGGATCCCCTTGTGTCGTTGGGTATGTTGACCGTGTATTTCGAGTTAAATTGCCCCAAAAGGAAGTTTTCGATGTGCTACCTGTAAAGATGGGCCTTCAAGAGGCTTCGTGTATATCAGACAGCACAGTCAGCGCGCTTGCTGAACGGCTGCCATAAATCACTTTCTCACGTGTGTTCTGAGTTGGAAGAGGTTTTGGGCAGCCTTAGGTCAGGAACTGTCCTGGAGGTTGGACATGTGTCCCTTTGGCACTGTTTGTGTGGCCCTCAGGACCCCTGCGACGGTAGTTTGTGTTTTCTTATTTCCCTTTCTCCCTTCCTATAGCATGTCTGCACTCTCTGACCGTCTCCTGTGGCATCATGTCTGCACTCTCTGACCGTCTCCTGTGGCATCATGTCTGCACTCTCTGACCGTCTCCTGCGGCACGTCTACCCTCTCTGACCGTCTCCTGCGGCACGTCTACCCTCTCTGACCATCTCCTGCGGCACGTCTGCGCTCTCTGACCATCTCCTGCGGCATGTCTGCGCTCTCTGACCATCTCCTGCAGCATGTCTGCGCTCTCTGACCATCTCCTGCAGCATGTCTGCGCTCTCTGACCATCTCCTGTTGCATGTTCCAGCAGCCTCAGTAATGTTTTCACTGAATATTATACGCTGCCCTTTGGAGATGGCAGGCAATCTCCAAGGCAGGACCATTGGACTCTCGGGCAAGACCATTGGGCTCTCTGGCAGGGCCATTGGGCTCTCTGGCAGGGCCATTGGGCTCTCGGGCAGGGCCATTGGGCTCCCGGGCAGGGCCATTGGGCTTTCAGGAAGGGCCATTGGGCTCTCGGGCAAAGCCATTGGGCTCTCGGGCAGGGCAATGGAGCTCTCTCAGGCAGGGCCGTTGAGCTCTCTCAGGCAGGGCCGTTGAGCTCTCTCAGTCAGGGCCGTGGAGCTACCTGCAGCATGTCTGCGCTCTCTGACCATCTCCTGCAGCATGTCTGCGCTCTCTGACCATCTCCTGTTGCATGTTCCAGCAGCCTCAGTAATGTTTTCACTGAATATTATACGCTGCCCTTTGGAGATGGCAGGCAATCTCCAAGGCAGGACCATTGGACTCTCGGGCAAGACCATTGGGCTCTCTGGCAGGGCCATTGGGCTCTCTGGCAGGGCCATTGGGCTCTCGGGCAGGGCCATTGGGCTCCCGGGCAGGGCCATTGGGCTTTCAGGAAGGGCCATTGGGCTCTCGGGCAAAGCCATTGGGCTCTCGGGCAGGGCAATGGAGCTCTCTCAGGCAGGGCCGTTGAGCTCTCTCAGGCAGGGCCGTTGAGCTCTCTCAGTCAGGGCCGTGGAGCTCTCTCAGGCAGGGCCGTCGAGCTCTCTCAGGGAGGGCCGTCGAGCTCTCTCAGGCAGGGCCGTCGAGCTCTCTCAGGCAGGGCCGTCGAGCTCTCTCAGGGAGGGCCGTCGAGCTCTCTCAGGCAGGGCCGTCGAGCTCGCTCAGGGAGGGCCGTCGAGCTCGCTCAGGGAGGGCCATTGGGCTCTGGGGAGACTGCAGGAGCCGTGAAAAAGTGGATAGTCTGTACTTGTAAACTTGCTTGAATTGATTGAACCTGTTAAGCTCAGTTACCAAGTTCCCTACAGATGTCTCCAGTAACAGAGACCCATCGGAGAGATGTCCCCGTCCTCTGTATTCCTGGGATTCCAAAGCGGAGGATCTTCAGGACCCTCACCAGGTAACAAACATAACTGGCAGATGTAGCTGATGCGGAATTGATTGCAGACTGGCACTGCCTGTTACGGATCTATCTGTGTTATCCAGAGGGAAAGTCAGATAGACGTTGAAGAAGATCCGAATGTGAGGGGTGAGGAGCCGTGTGAGGAGGAGGAGGAGGAACGTTCTCAAGAGATCAGCACAGGTGAGGAATAAACACTAAAGCCAGAGAAGAGTCCCAGATTCTCCTTGTTCAGTCACTACAACAATCTCTTCTCCCCTCCCCCGTCAGTAGACAGTAATGGGGGAACGGAATGTGTCTAGTGGTGGGAGTCAGGAGCCATCAGCCTCTATTAGTCTCCGGCTCTCCTCCTCCAGCACCTCTGCATTGCTGTGTACTCTCCGAGCTCCGACCTTCCCTGGCCAAGGACGGAATTCAGAGGATTCTTACACGCTCTGCTTTGGAAATCGGCAAAGGTGAGCAACGACCACTGAGTACAGAAAGGATTCAGCTTGGTGTCTTTCCTACAGACAGATCCATCAAGAGGAACACGGTGGAGCGGCGCCCCCTTCCAATCTTCTCACTGAAGCGGGACGGAAGGAAGTGGCAGAGGATACGAATTAAGGTAAGACATAGGGAGGTGTTGGGAGGGTAACCCTAAATTCAATATTTCATAGATGTATTGTTTCTCAATGTAGCTTAGTGTCCTGTGTTATAACTGGTGATCCTGCCAGTCCCCCTTCTGTCCTGTTGCAACCTGACCACGGCAAACACTGAAGCAGATCCGTGCCAGTGTGGTCTGCTTCTGTATCAGTGCTTCCCCATTGGAGTTGCACTCCGCCATGTCGGCGCAGGGCGTGCCTGTGACTCCAGCTGCCACACCCTCGTGCAGCCCTGCAGAGTTGATTGACAGCGGCTCCTAGTACAAGCCCCACTGTCAAACTGCAGCTGGTAAGCCGAGGTGTTGATTAAATGCTAGGTAGAGAGTGGTGGAGGATGGAAGCCAGTGGACGGATTGGCAGAGAGGGGCGGGGGATGGAAGCCAGTTGAGGGATTGGCAGAGAGTGGCAGAGGATGGAAGCCAGTGGAGGGATTGGCAGAGAGGGGCAGGGGATGGAAGCCAGTGGAGGGATTAGTAGAGAGGGGCGGAGGGAGGGAGGCCAGTGGAGGGATTGGTAGAGAGGGGCAGGGGATGGAGGGATGGGTGGAGAGGGGCAGGGGATGGAGGCCAGTGGAGGGATTGGCCGGGGATGGAGGCCAGTGGAGGGATTGGCCGGGGATGGAGGCCAGTGGAGGGATTGGCCGGGGATGGAGGCCAGTGGAGGGATTGGCCGGGGATGGAGGCCAGTGGAGGGATTGGCCGGGGATGGAGGCCAGTGGAGGGATTGGCCGGGGATGGAGGCCAGTGGAGGGATTGGCCGGGGATGGAGGCCAGTGGAGGGATTGGCCGGGGATGGAGGCCAGTGGAGGGATTGGCCGGGGATGGAGGCCAGTGGAGGGATTGGCCGGGGATGGAGGCCAGTGGAGGGATTGGCCGGGGATGGAGGCCAGTGGAGGGATTGGCCGGGGATGGAGGCCAGTGGAGGGATTGGCCGGGGATGGAGGCCAGTGGAGGGATTGGCCGGGGATGGAGGCCAGTGGAGGGATTGGCCGGGGATGGAGGCCAGTGGAGGGATTGGCCGGGGATGGAGGCCAGTGGAGGGATTGGCCGGGGATGGAGGCCAGTGGAGGGATTGGCCGGGGATGGAGGCCAGTGGAGGGATTGGCCGGGGATGGAGGCCAGTGGAGGGATTGGCCGGGGATGGAGGCCAGTGGAGGGATTGGCCGGGGATGGAGGCCAGTGGAGGGATTGGCCGGGGATGGAGGCCAGTGGAGGGATTGGCCGGGGATGGAGGCCAGTGGAGGGATTGGCCGGGGATGGAGGCCAGTGGAGGGATTGGCCGGGGATGGAGGCCAGTGGAGGGATTGGCCGGGGATGGAGGCCAGTGGAGGGATTGGCCGGGGATGGAGGCCAGTGGAGGGATTGGCCGGGGATGGAGGCCAGTGGAGGGATTGGCCGGGGATGTAGGCCAGTGGATGGAGTTGTTAGTCTTGCTGTATATAATATAAGGAGTTATTGTTGTTTACACTTTCTTTGTCTTTACAATCAGAGTGAAATAAATTTAGAAGTTCGGGAGGAAGACGCGGCAGAAGAACACAAAGGTAACAGAATTGTGGAGGCCGCTTCCGGGACACATAGGCCATTGCTGCCATGTTACGGGAGACTGGGTGGGACTGCTCCATGCTACAGGAGACTGCTAGAGATTTCTCCCATATAGCAAACGTCTGTTCTTTACGCTGACCGTAGTCACATCACATGTCCAAAAATTTTATTTCCTGCAGACAGACCCAGAAACAGAAATGCGTCGGAGCGGCTACCCCGCCCCGTTTGCTTGGACAATTCCGATGCAGATTACTGCCAACAAGACTTACAGGTAATCTGTGGGACCTTCCTGACCGTCTATCTGGGGGCCATAGAGCGTTGTATGTAGTTGAACATTAATGCTTTACTATTTGTGTAGGCGGAGTCTCCGGCAGACAGGGCAAACGGCGTGATATTACAGGAAGAGGGCTTGTACTTGACACATGAGCAGGAGATTAAGGAGGAGGAGTCTGCTCTGGACTTTGACGAAGGTGAGCGCACTGATTGGCTAATTGGGTGAGCCCATTGTAAGCACAGGAGGGGTTGAAAATGACGACATTATGTGATCTCTCCCTATATCTCTCTCTAGGTTATGAAGTTGATTATGACCAGGGACTCGACCATTGCCACCCGTTCGATGGTGACGTCAGTCTCGGGAAACCCTCGGAGGAGTACGACCAGGCCATCGCTGGGGAGAACTCGCCGGCAGGAGGGGAGAAACATTTCATCTGCACCGAGTGCGGCAAGAGCTTTACCCATTTCTCCTACCTCACCAAGCACCAGCGCTCCCACTCGGGGTTGAAGCCGTTCACCTGTGCCGAATGCGGCAAACGGTTCGCCTACAAGCCCAGCTTGGAGACCCACCAGAGGGTGCACACTGGGGTGAAGCCCCATGTCTGCACGGAGTGCGGGAAGCTGTTTTCAAGCAAGTTCAACCTGAAGACCCACGAGAAGATCCACTCTGGGGTCAAGCCGGTGGTCTGCCCGGCATGCGGCAAGTGTTTCAGCAACAACCCGGCGCTGGTGAAGCACCTGCGGATCCACACGGGCGAGAAGCCCTTTTCCTGCAACCAGTGCGGCAAGTTTTTCTCCAGCCGCTCCGGCCTCAACGCCCACCTCATACTCCACACGGGTGAGAAGCCCTTCATGTGCTCCGAATGCGGGAAGTCCTTTGCAAACCAGTCTAACCTCATCTCCCACCGCATCATCCACACTGGCGAGAAGCCCTACACCTGCAGCGAATGCGGCAAAGGCTTCGCCAACCAGTCGAACCTGGCCAAGCACAAAATCATCCATACCGAGCAGAAGCCGTTTCTCTGCATGGAGTGTGGGAAATTCTTCACCCGGAAGGGCAGCCTAGACAAACACCGGAAGAGGATCCACGAGAAGACGAAACATGTTCTCCAGTCACCTGGGCCTGTAAATTTTTAAAAAGACTTAAATTGCAATTGCCTTTCCTCTCCCCCATGGGTCGTGAAGGCAGTAGCTTTGCAGTTCTGTGCCTTGTCAGGAAAAGCCTACGGCTGGCTGACGTAATGTGGTCTGATGAACTCTGGGGGGCCAAACCCTTCTTCAGGCTAAGCTTCAAAGAAGGCTTCTGAAGGGTTCATTGACCACCAACCTCACATCTGAAGAAAGTGGGACCTTGTGGGTAGGCAGGCAGAGCCAGGAACCCACGTGTGTAGGTTGCCCATTAGGATTACTTGATCAGTTTGAAAAAGATGTCTGGTGGATGTCAAGGCTTCAGTTAAATCACCGGTCAATAATTTATTAAGGCCAATATGTGAGACCTGTGATATCCTTTGGAAGTTGGGAGCCCAAGTGCCAAGGTCCTGGAGATATCTTCAGAAGACTAAGATATAACCTGTTGGTGGACCGACCCTTCAGTTCCTCATCAGCCTCCTGAAGAACCCTGCTGCTTTGGAGATGGGCTTCATACACAGTCATCCTGTTCTTATCATATTTGTGATGCAGGACTTTGATGAGATAGCCCCACGATCCAAAAATTCTTACTGTGGTCTCCTCCTTGCAAAGAACCTTGAGGGTGAGGCAGTGCCACCATGGTGGGTACATATGCACCTTCTAGAACCATGTGAAGGACCCCTCTAAAATAACTGCTTATACAAAGTGGGCGGGGGGGGGGTCACATTCCACACTTGATAAATGGTTTGGACTGTCTATTGGGCTTTTGTTGGGAATAGAAACACTACATCCTGTCTAAGGAACTGAGCAAAATGTATTTGAGTAGACCTGTAACAGGACTGCTGATATCATTTCAGAAAGACTAGGTGCCCTTTGCTGAGATACCATACCCCCTTTCACATCTACAAAATCCCTGTGCTTCTGACTGCTGGCTACTAATAATGAGGCTGGGCTTGGTGCGAACCCAGTTTACTTAAATTCACCAAAGCTTGCTTGAATCTCTGACTGCCTTACCTCCTCCTGACCCAATCAGCGCCAGCAGCTGGAATTCTCCACCCCTTTGTGACGTATTGCTGTGGGGTGGGGAATGCCCCTCCCTGCAACTTATTGGGTCAGGAGAAGGGGGTGGCAGTCAGAGTTTTGAGCAGGCTTGGGTGAACTCAGACAAATTGGGTTTCCATCAAGCCCAGCCTCATCCCTACTGGCTACGTGTGCTGAAGTGACTTAGCTGGGCCTTTGGGAAGGAGAGATCTCCAGGCTATGTGTACTGGAGGTACTAAGCTGGGCTTATGGGAAGGAGAGATCTTCAGGCTATGTGTGCTGGAGGCACTTAGCTGGGCTTAGGGGAAGGAGAGATCTTCAGGCTATGTGTGCTGGAGGCACTTAGCTGGGCTTAGGGGAAGGAGAGATCTTCAGGCTATGTGTGCTGGAGGCACTTAGCTGGGCTTAGGGGAAGGAGAGATCTTCAGGCTATGTGTGCTGGAGGCACTTAGCCGGGCTTATGGGAAGGAGAGAACTCCAAGCTACGTATGTGCAGTGGGAGAGGTAGTTCAGTACAATGGAAGAGTGGAGAGCAACTTAAATGCATTGTGGCAAGCCTTTGTCTTCAGCCTGGCCTAGCTCTTGTATGGTGAGGTGAGAGACCTCATTGTGGGAAGCCTTCGTCTTTAGCCTGGCCTAGCTCGTGTATGGTGAGAGGCCTCATTGTGGGAAGCCTTCATCTTTAGCCTGGCCTAGCTCTTGTACGGTGAGGTGAGAGGCCTCATTGTGGGAAGCCTTCATCTTCAGCCTGGCCTAGCTCTTGTATAGTGAGATGAGAGGCCTCATTGTAGGAAGCATTAGTCTTCAGCCTGGCCTAGCTCATGTAGGTTGAGGTGAGAGGCAGCCACACAAGAGGGCCAAACTTCAACTCTGCACACACGTACCCAGCAGTTTGAAGCAATAGGGACGCCATCACCCTTGGGACCTGGCTTCCTACTATTTGGTTCTTTGAGAAGTCTGAAGAGCCAGAGAAGGAGGGTTTTGTGTGGATCGGAAATTTAACGGATATTTCAAATAATTAGAAAAAAAAATTTATGCTAAAGTTCCTATAATCGTGTGAGGAAAAATGCTTTTGGGCACGCTGGTCTAATACGGACTGCCTCATTTTCTCAACATCCTAGAATAGACTTGGGAAAACACTGTCCAAGTGTTCCTAGGTTCCAAGCTCGACCCTCTGTAGTCCATAAAGAGGGAACCTGTGCAGAATCATGTGACAAGACTGCTGCCCCTAACGGCAACACCGTTATCAGCCTACCTAATGTGTTGGATCGATTTTAAGGAACTCGGAAATCAAGTTGAAGAAGGGTGCACCTTCTGACTTTACCAAGGCATCAGTATTGGAGCCATGTTGCTGCCCATTACATATCAGAAGTGCGATTGCTCCATAATATGCAGATCAATAAGAACTTACTGTCCGCTCAGAGGTGTACAGAGCAGATAGCGGGCTCTGTAGAGACTCCAGGCGGCAGGAGAGGTGTTCTGGATTGTGCCCGGTTGTATATAAAATTACTGTACAGCAATACTGGACCCGGGCTCATTTTACAGATGGAAGTGCATTTGGTCAATCTTAAATATACATTTATTCAATAAAAATGTGTATACTCTGAACTGGCGTGTGTGAGCTTTATTAGAAAACGACACAGATCTGGAGATCGAGAGAGAGGCACGGGTCAGAGAAACCACAGTCATGGAGGCTCAGCATCACATGTGGGAGTTACCTAGGGTAGTTGCATCCAAATAGAGCCTGCCTAGCAACAATGACTCCTCCAGACTGAATTTCATCCATCACGGTATTGTGATGATACTGGCTCTAACATTTTGCATGTAATGAAATCGGAAGGCTTTTATTAAAAGCCTCATTAGCACGTTAATGAGGGAGAAGAAGGGAAGGAACCAAGGAAGGCAAAATATAAGCAGATGGTCACATAGACAGACCTAAAAGAATACAAGGATTCAATTCTTAGAGATGCACCTTGTTTTATTCAACACAATAGTTTTAGAAACCATGTGTAGAAGGGAACGTCCAGATGTGCAATTCATATCATCAGTTAAAGTTCAGACAATAGCAAATAAGTGGTTTCCTGTTTTGGTTGCCATGGAGATTTTAAAAAAAAATAGGTGGTCTATTTTGAATCTAGGTTTTTTAGAAGAACGTAATCATAGTGGGTACCAAAATTGGAGTCCAAAGTCTAAAACCGGATGCTGGGCTTCAAGCTGACCCTCAAAAACACCATTGCCAAGATTTAGAATCCTCAAAACTGCCTGTAGTTTAGACGGAGTATCCATTTACTCAAGCCCGATAATGCAACGGCTTCTGTGGAATTCTTCAGAAATGTTCTTGGGCTTTTCAAGATGGTCGAATAAAAATTCAAGCTCATCACCCAAAGACATTTTCTGGAGAAGTCAACACAAGCTTTCTCTTCACAACATGGATTCTGTGCCCCCCCCCCCACCTTGTTGGGATGACTCTAGCTCAGCTGTTCTCAACCAGGGTGCCTCCTGGCTTCCTTTAGGAGTGCCTTGAACTTTTCACACAGCATAATGCCTTTCCATGCGCAGGGGGCTCTTAATGTGAAGGGGGAACCTTGGTATGAAAGGAGGGCTCTCATGTGAAGGGGGATTTTGATATGAAAGGAGGAGGCTTTGATGTGAAAGGGGGCTCCTAGTGTGATAGGGAGGACTTTGATGTGAAATCGAGCTCCTAGTGTGATAGGGGGAGGACTCTGATGTGAAGGTGGAACCCCATTTTTTTCTGTTTTGGTGTGGGATCTTGCCTTAAAATCCATACCAGACCTCTGTTTGGGATAAGGGTCTGGTACGGATTTTGGCGGGGCCATGTGTCATTTTAGAGTGGGGGGCCGTGACCGAAAAATGGCTGAGAAACGCTAATTGAGCAGCCCAGTAGGTCATGAAGATTCAGAAGAAGGTCCTCAAATCTTGGTTCCACAAAACAGACCCTGTAAACAATCAAGTTGCCAAAGCTTGGTCAAAGAAAGTAGAACCACGAACTGTGGACTGGACTGATAGCCGGTTTCACTGATAGCTGGTTTCTGGCTGATGTTGAGTAGAGATGGTCCGCCGATTCGAACATCGGCCGTTCGAGCTATCGCCGAACTTTATGGGATGTTCGCGGTCTGTTCGACCGCACGTCTCATACTGCAAAGAGCCCCCTGAAGCTCTAATTGGTTAAAGACCACAGGTCAGGTGCAAGACTTTGTCCAATCAGGGCTCAGTACTCATTTGGAGCCATGATTGGGCAAAGTCATGATCACTCTGCCCAATCATGTCTCGCCTATCAGATGCCGGCAAACTACACAATTGGGCGGAGCTAGCTGTCACCGCTAGCTCCGCCCAATTGTTTGTTCTGCCGGCATCTGTCAAAATGCCATTATGCGGACGAGACGGCGGCCGGCGTTTTTTTGTTATTTCTATCTAGTTTTCATTTCGTCATGGACAGCGCTGGACGCTGTGATTGACCCTGGATTACTTCGGTGGATCCATTTTATTTTTTTAAAAATAAAAGACTTGTCAAAAACATGTCCGACACATCAATCACTGATAACACTAAACTGATGAGCTGTAAAAGCTTTTAAAGCGTCCCCTATGGCCAATTTTGGGTATGCTAGTTTTTTGCGGGTGTGCGCAATTTTTAAGCTTGACATGTTTGGTGTCTATTTACCCGACGTGACCCCGTCTTTTATATATTACCAAAATTTGGTAATATTGTTTTATAACAAACTTTTTTTTTTTCTAAATTTTCAGTAATTTCCCCTGAATATAGTAAAAAATAAAACCCGCATAAGAAAGCTCTATCTGTCCCTAAAAAATGGTATCAAATTCATTTCAG